CTCATAGTAAAAAATTTCTTCCTGAGATCTAATCTGAATCTTTTTTCTTCCAATTTAAAACCGTTTCCCCTTGTCCTATCATTACCCTTCCTGGCAAAGAGTCCCCCCCCAGCTCTTCTATAGGCACCCTTCAGGTATTGAAAGGCCGCTATAAGGTCTCCCCGGAGCCTTCTCTTCTCCAGGCTGAACAATCCCAGCTCCCTCAGCCTGTCTTCATAGGAGAGGTGCTCCATCCCTCTGATCATCTTCATGGCCCTCCGCTGCACCCGTTCCAGCCGGTCCATGTCCTTTCTGTGTTGAGGACTCCAAAGCTGTACAGAGGACAGGTGAGGGAGCGGCAAGGCCAGCAAGAAACAGGACAGCACCTCCCTCCCACCCCATTTCCCATGAGGGTCCCGCAACTGCCCCTGGTTAAGAGGGGTAGCCACTGCCGAAGGATCCCGACCCGCTTTCCAAAAGCTTTTTCCTCTCCCCCGCCTAAAAATGCTGCCGTTTCATCTGGTGGCCCCAGGGACGTGGCGCAGAGAGGCGGCAGCACGTGATGCTGTCTCCCCAACCCGCCCTGCTCGGCGGCGGTTTCCTCTTCGCAGCCAGCAGCCGTTGGGCTCGACATCCCCCCATCGCAGCGGGGGCCACCAGGGAGGTGGCACAGGGGGTGACAGGACCCACTGTCCCTCCCCGCAAGGTCCCTCTGGCCTGACGACGTCCACAACTCGAGTGATGTTCACAACTGGAAGCGTTACACAGCAGCAGTGAGGGCAGGGAGGAGCAGCCGGCGGCAGCACGTCGGGGAAGAGAAGAGCATGACTTCCTCCCTTTTTTTTTTTTTTCCCCCTTCTCAAAGAGAGATCTGAGCCTGTATATAAAAGGAAGTGCTGAAATCACACGCCCTGTAGATAAAACACAATTATTCCGTCAGCACCAAACCCCTGAGAAACGCTGCTCCCCCCCTCCTGGGGGTCTGCAGCCAGCGAGGAAGCCGTGTCTGCTGGGAGATGCCACCAGAGAACGGGTGGCACGGGTCCCACAGTGTCCTTTGGACAACTCCTCTGAGGAGCTTCCACCAGGGAAGTCCTGCTGGCACAAACACCCCGGTAAATCTCTTCCTGCAGGCCACTGGTTAATTAAGGAGCTCTTTTCATAACAACTTAACAAATAATGCATGCGGTTACGACAAATTACCTTCTCGCTTTGCCGCGCATTCGTTAATCGTCGCTGCTGTGCTTTGCAAGCCAGGGCAGCGCTTTGCAGAGTGTGAACTTTGCAAGGAACACTCTTCCCGGAGATAAAGTGAGCCCGAGCTCAGGGCAGGTCCCAAAAGCACCCAGGTACCCATGAACAAAACTCCCCAAACCCCAATGGCTGAGCTTTTGAGAAAAATCAGTGGATTTAGCTTAAATATTTAGGTTTCTGAAGCAGGGACCACTCATGCTGGGCACAGGGTGAGTGGGGATGCTCAGGCTGTTACAATTCACGTGGAGCAGCACCTCTGTGGCTGCAGACCTGCTGTCACCGCACGGCGCCGGCAGCCACGGCCGCTCCCACCACGCAGCGGAAGCGATTTCCTCTGAACTACAATCTCAAAGTCATCACGGCGCAACAAGGAGAGGCAGCGTGGTGAGGAACACCACCAGCAACAACGAAACCTGCTCACCAGAATCAGCTGAAGGTGTTAAATCTTTAGATCCTTACACCAGAAAAGCACAAGGGGAATTAAAAGAATAATGTGGTGCAGGTGGGGGACTGTGTGTTGTATCTGTGCACCTACCACCAGGACAGACCCTGCTCCTGGAAGGAGACTCCCAGGACCTCTGCAACGCAGGACCCCAACTGCAAACCCCAGGCTGAAAAGAAGCCCACCATCCAAGACTTATCTCAAGTGGAGATGTTTTATTGCCTGGCCACCTGGGGCTGTGTGACTGAGCCCACTCGCTGAGTTTTCTCCTTGCAGAAAGCCTTCGGTGGGGTGCCCTCAAGATCTCAGAGCACTCAGCCAACCGCCCGCTGCTCCAACAAGGAGGTGACCAGAACACGTGAAGCGCTGGTTCCGTTTTCTGCCTTCCCCAGCCTGCAGCCATCGGCAGCGCACGTCTGTCCTCCGGGAAGGCATTATCAGTGGATCTGGTCTAACGAGCCCACTTCTTCTGGTGCCCCATGCCAAGTCCACCATCGAGAAGCCGTTTTCCACAAATGAGTCACAAACCACACCGGAGACAGTCCCTTTGTGGTGTTATTCTATACCCTCTCCCTCTTCTCCAGAGCTCTACCAGCTGCCAGAGGACAGTTCATGTGGTCAGAGATCTCACGATGGAAAATTCTGCAGAGAGATTTAAAAAAAAAAACCCAAAAAACCAAAAAAAAAGTAGATTTTAAAGTGGGCCGGTTTTATTTAAACAGCGGGCCCACATGTTGAGTCAGCACAATATGCAAAAGACTTTCTACACACTCCTAACTGTCTGCTCTGTCAATTAACCAAAAAAATGATCTAATGAACCCTGACAGGCACTAAGTACCACCTCTAGAGTCTGATTTTGGGGAGAGGGCTGTTCAGCAGAGCACACAGTATTAACAGCAGCAGTGGGCATATTATTACTTTGGTGCCCCGAAAACTCCAGTTTTGGGATCCCACTGTGCTCCAGAGGGGGAAGCAGAAGAGAAAGTCGGAGTGCAGCTCAAAGATGGTCCCGCTGGAGACAAAGGTTGGACGGTTGGACAAGATGCTCTTTAAAGTCCCTTCCAACCTAGAAGATTCTGTGATTCTGTGAAAGGCTGGCACCTGGCAGAGCGACGGGTTTTGGGACAAGGCGGCTCCTTCGTACGACACGGTTCTGGGTCTGCAGTTTCATGGGGTCCCTAAAGGTACCTCACACTCAGTCCTGAGCATCACCCCTGGAACGCCCCCGCTTTGCCCAGCCAACAGCAGCTCTCTGAACCCCTGGCAGCGTTCGCGGCGCCGGTTAAAATTAACCTACCGTCCGTTTCCTGTGGATAGTCAGGATATGAATGTCTTCGCTGCGATACTCCTCGTCGTGCTTATCCAGGGGAATTTTTTCCAGCTCGAAGTCCACCTGAAGCAGCTGGTTATCAGAGAACACAGCAGAACAATTCACATGACGCCGCCCTTTGAACCCCGCACATTCCTTTAAAAAGGTCCCACAATATCCTGCACGAGGGCAAGAAGCCTCCGGAGGCTGGAACCTCCACGCTCAGACCATTCCACTAAGGGCCTCTGCAAAAACACAAGCCATTTTTCCACCCCAATGCAGCACATTTACCCTCGTTTTAACTACTCCAGCACCAAATCCAAGATACAGACACCTCCCAGTGTTTAAGAAAAATCTAAAAGCCTGTGATAGAATATTTTGCTTCCTCCCATCTCCGAAGCGCTAAGCCTCTGTCTGCCAACCTACTCAACCAGAGCAAAGGGGGGAAAAAAGGGCTAAAAACACCCCCAGCATCAGCTCTACAACATGCTCAGAAGATTAACTTGGCTGAACCCGGGCAAGGTAAGGAAGGAAATAAATTACAAGAAAGCAGAAATCATCCAGAAACACCTACACCTACTGTGTTTATTGTGGGAGCGGCACCTCGTCAGAGCCGATCTCAATTAGAGCAACCCTCCCCACGCTCAGGTCCCCACAAGAGTTCGAGGCAAGGCTAATTATCAAAGAGGTGTTTTTATTCACACGCACAAATCGCCCTGGAATTCTCACCCTTCCCCCTTTTTGTAGTATTATTATTGCACATAATCCACTACTCGAGCACAAGGGCTGCTTTTCAGCAGACTTCACAGGTGCAGAGTCAAAACCTGCATGGACCAACATCCCCACAACTTTAGGAGGGATTCAGCTGTTACCTGTGTTCCTTCTCTTTACCTGCTCAGAAGACACAGCTGGACTATTTAGTTATATCACCTATTAATGCTCTCTCAGTGGAGCAGGGGAAATTTTTTGCAAAAGCATCTACATCACGTAACGGAGAGTCTTGAGTTCCTGAGCTACTCTGGAAAACTCTACCTGTGTTTTCCCTCCGCCTTCAATGGAACACACTAGAAGAAAGTAAAATTTCACTCCCAATAGCCTCTGGTAAGAAGAAGACAATCACTTGCTCCTACAAAAACAATAGTTTTGATTTTGGCAGGTATTTCCCCACGTATAATGGCCCTTCTGCAAATCTGGACGGTATCACAAGCCAGGGCAGCTTTTAAAAAGAAAGGTTAGTTTGACCTTTTATGGGAAGGAAAGCTCAGTAAGTATCCAGAAAGTCTCTCTACTGCTAAGTTGGACAATAACTTCAAGTCACCATCCAAATTTTCTGCCCCATCTAAAGACAAATGTGGTTCTCCTGCTACAAACTTCCACTTCGTGCAGTCAACCTGAATTGGTACCCGTAGCAACAGCTGATCCAACAACAAAGGCCTCCTGTATCCAAGCTATTTCCCGCTGATTCTCAGCTGATCCAATAACAAAGGCCTCCTGTATCCAAGCTATTTCCCAGTGTTCAAAAAGCAGACGTTAAAAACACTTACCTCAAAGTATTTTCTCTCAATTTCAGGATTCTTCCCCATAGTCCTCTGTTCGTAACAGCACAAGACACACGTATCGGGGCCGGTAAGGTCTTTCAGTGTCTTCAGTAGTGGCTCTAATGACTGCCCAAAAGAGGTTAAGTATTTCCCACTTAGATTTCAAGTTAATTTTACTGGTACGATCCCCTCTAACTAGAGAAAGTCTTCACCCAAGAGAGAAGTTTCTAGTTTTGCTTTTCAGGGAGTTATTTTTAGTACTTTATCTAGGACAAAAAGAACATGGGGGCAAGCTGGAAAGCAGAGGAGAAAGGGAGATTGCAGAGGAGAACGAGTTTCACAGACCAAGAAAACCGACACAACATCAAAGCCCAAAACATCCCACGCTGCTGAGTGGGCATTTCCTTAAGGCACACAACAATGACTATTTCTTGACACGTTTCAAAGGCGTGAGTTTTCTCAACCATTCTTGATACGTGGCTCGGATCCAGACCACTACGTATGGGAACAGGACCAACATGCAGGGAACCAAGGCAAGGGGCCAGTAGGACCACTGAAAGGGCACTGGGACATGGGGTTCTTCAGGTCATTTCCCCTCTCTTGCAACTCTGAGCAATCTACGCACATCCCACAGAGCTCCAGCTGAGGAGATGGGGCAGACTACAGCGACTGCTTGGCTGGAGCAGGATTTCTCCTTCTGCCTTCCCAAGGGAAGCGTGAGGAGAACCCAAACAGTGGTAAATTTCGTTTACCAACGCACTGAACCATTCACAGCTATCAGTCACAATGCTTTACTACACACTTCATGCCCAATGAGAAACAAACAAAAAGGGGGGGGGAGGGACACAAATGTTAAGTTTAGGGTTTTTTTAAATACATAAAAGTCTCTGGTTGAATCTCAAATGGCCTTCAATCTGTTAAACATGCCTTTTCCAGTCTTGTTCTACGTATTCCTCTAAACCCTGGGGACCTAGATACAAGCACAAGGTTTATTTGAACACTTCTCACACCAAACCCAGGCCCTTCCCAGTGAAGCTCTCTCCAAGGGGTTTCCCCAAGTCCTCATTTACCTCCTCGTAGTAAATGCAATCGGCCATTAGTATATAATCGGGGGGAGGCTGAAACTCTGTCACATCTTCACCCCTAAAAAAGAAGCACAGAAAAGGTGAAAGCAAGCTTTAGTTACAGCACAACACACACACCACAGAAGGCCTGAGAATGAAGTTAAGGGCTGTGTTCTTATACTGATGCTGCCTTTTACGGCAGCATCTCCCAGTTTACCTAGCAACTGAGCAAAGTGAGAGCCCCGGTAAAGCTGAAGGGAAACATTAAAGGCTCATACAAACCATTTCAGTACCTTGGCTCGGACTGACCCTGTCACCAGGTGTCTGTTCTTCTCGATATTGACCAGCAGCAGCTCCTGCAGCTCCTCCAGGTCAGTGACCGTCACGTCTGCCCTGTAACACGCACCGGGGGTTAGGGCCTTGCCCCTCGCACAAAATACGTGCTTTTTGAGAGGATTTTAAAAATTTAATGAAGAGAAACGGGCAGCGGGGATCGGATGAGAGCGGAGCGGCCCCGTCCGCCCGCAGCCCCCGGCGGCATCACTCACCCCAGCGTGGCCGCCATGATGCCGACGGCGCCGGTACCGGCTCCCAGCTCCAGGACGTGGCGGCGGGCGAGGGGACAAGCACCGGTCTCCAGGAATTTGGCGAGCACCAAGGCGGCGTCCCACACCACGCAGCCCACGCCGCCCGCCGCCCGCTGCTCCAGCCGCAGGGCCGGCCCCCCGCGTCGCTCCAGCTCCCGCACGAAGCACGCCATGGCGGTGGACACAGCGGCGGCGCGGCCCCTCCTCCTCCTCCCGGCGCCGCCCCGGCCGGGGTGGAAATGGTGTCCCGTTCCTTCACCACGGCGGCGTCCGGGGACTGCCCGGTGCCGCTGTCGCTGTCGTCCCTTCCTCCCTCCATCCCCGCGGGCGGTAGCGCCTCAGCCCCGGGGCTCCCCTGAGGTAGCGCGAGCCCCCTCGGGCTCCCCTGAGGTAGCGCGAGCTATTCTCTCGGGCTCCATGTTAACCGCGTCCCGACCCCTCCTGAAAGTTGACTGTGAATTAAATGAAAACATGTTCTGGGCCGCACTTGCTTGACAGAAAAGCATATTTTTACTTGTTTTTAGTCCTTGCCGGAGCACAGGAGAGAACGTAAAGCTGCCGTGGCTGGCTGGGTTGCTGCCGTTTCTCACTGGGCACTGCAGCCCTGTCAGGCTTCCCTCTGAGGTGAGGAACCTCCATGTGGAGGCCACAGGCTGGAGCTGGCCCGGCGGTAACTCCCACCTGCCTGATTTAACCCGTCAGGCTAAAAAAGACATTAAAAACCAGCCAGAGGAAAGGCAGCCCTGAAGAGAACATTCCACGGGTGTAAACGGCTGAAAGTGACCACTCAGCTTCGTAAGTTTCTCGGTGCAGCCTGTATGCACTTGTGGACATGCAGTCCCACGTAAAGCTGGAAATCCCGGGTGTTGTACACCCGCATCCAACATTTAAACTTACAAAAAGGTGTTTAAAAAAAGCAGCTGAATATCACAGCATTGCAGAATGGCTTGAGTTGGAAGGGTCCTTAAAGATCGTCTCGTTCCAACCCCCCCCACTGTGAATACGAGTTGACTGCATCCACGTTTTTTAAGAGCAAAGGGTTTTTTTTTTTTCCTTAGACATAGGGAAGAAAGTTATTACTTTATTTCCTAGTGTTTCTTACTAACGTTCACTCCCTTCCCCAGGGAGGAGTTACTGCATTTGCTAGGGAGTCCAAATAGTATATTCAGACTTGTGGTGTATTTTTGACAATTGGAGTGAATAGGTTGGGGGGGGGAAGCCCAAAAGGTGGTTCCTTTTGTCCTTTCTTGGTTTTGATCTGCTATAGCAATGTCAAAGCACCCATGGAAGTTATTGGGGCTCCAGAGCAGGGGGAAATGCTGAAACTCAGGGACTCAAAACGGGATCACTGAAAACAAGAAGAAAGATGTTTCTTTTGCTCTTAGCTGCCTTCACATTCCATCTGTTTATCTGCACTTTTCTGAGGGAACTGCCTCTTCCCACACGAGCCAACTTCAAACCCAGCAATTTCACATTTTTCCCCTCTAGCATTTATTTTTTGGGGGGAGGAGGGGTGCCCTCTTTTTATCTATCCCTCTAATTACGGAGTAACTGAAAAGTTAATTTATTGTTATCTTGGCATTCCCTCCAACTGCACTGGTGGGAAGCCGACCGCTGTTGACCACTTCCACGGCCCAAAGAGTTCCTTGGGGAACGTGTGTTGCTGTGCCCACCATCCTTGCTGCTGCCCTGCCTTGGAAGGGCTCTTGGGTTGGGTTGCCTTTTTTTTTTTTTTTCTGTATTTTCCAGCTCCTGTTATGCGTGGAGGCCAGTTTAATTGTGCGGTAAGTTCTCCATTTTCTGAATCATGCTGTGATTTATGGACTTCAGGTTAACTCCAGAACTGGCCCTGCAAAGGCAAGTGATGTTTCCCGCATGGGAGATAACACCTGGGAACGTTGTTTAACTCCTGCCTTCCAGTATCTCGTGTTTCCACGTTATTTCCCCTGCTGGGAGATCTGATCGAAGAGGTGCCTGCTCTCCTCTCCCCTCCTCGTCCCGGAGCTTTGCTGGTGATCAGCTGTGGGTGGTGATGCTTTAAGCTCAACCTGAAAAAAGAAGTCCCACAGGAGACTTTTTTAAATTGCATCATCGCTGTTTGTCCTAATTAAACCACTCTGGGACCCCGCTGAAAGTTACGCATTTCTTTTTCTCTGGCTTCCAGCGTGGAACTTAGAACTGCTGCCCAAACCCACTCTTCTTTCACAATCAGGTTTAAGAGTTAAACAAAGGGTTGTGTTTCACAGCCCCCCCCCGGGTGTTTTTGTACAAAACATAAGGGGTAAATTGGCATTTAAAAAGGGCTGCTCTGAGAATGGGACCCCTGAGCAGCATCAAGGTGAGCTCTAACAACTCCTGCTTCAACGTGTTTAAACTCTCCTCCGAGTCCCCCACAAACCAAACCCTCACAAAGCTCTCGATGGAGGGAAATACTTTGATACTTATGGAGGCCATTTCTAATCACCAGGCACTCAGCTTAAAATGAGTTTTGCCGAGTCAGGACCTATATATATATAAATATTCTATATTTTAATATGGGATATTGACAATGGCATTTGTACAGGAGGTACTAAGCTGGCAGCTCTATATTCTAAAATTTGGGAGAGTCGCCCTGCAGCGACACACAAAATGTGGAAGTCTGAAAAAATATGACTCGCCTTTCGGCAAGAGCTGCTGGGGAGGGCTACAAAAGTTAAAACAAGGAACTAAATATAAAGTTTCACTTGTTGAGCTTATCCCGCAGATGACTGGAATGGTGATACCTGACAGCCTGCCTTTTCCACGCAGAGGGCATGAGAGGAGTACTGCACCGAGCAGGATTTCACCACCAGACACTGACAGAATTCTTCCCAAACTTACAAAGAGGTATGAGCTGGTGGTGGTTTTTTTTACCGCAGAGGAAAACAACACAATGAAGGCATCATCCCTTTCCTGCCTGCACTCCCAGTTCGTGCATCTCAAATTTATTAGCACTCCAAGCACATCGCCTCTCCTTTTCCAGAGGGAACGCCGAGCTGGTGGGAGCAATACAGGCAGGTGATGACAGGTGAGTTGCAAGTCCCAGCACAGTGCTCTTCCTGCAGAATGGAGCCTGAAAAATCGGGAACTGCTTCTCCATCTATAGGGGCCGAGGCATCTGATGGGTTTGGAGGTGGAGGGAAGGGTTACGCTCCCAGGGGGCTGTCACAAATCAGGTCTAACCACAGACTGAAGGACAACCAAAGCTGAGAACGGCAGAGCATGGAAAATGGGGGCGTTTTGTGCTGCCAAAATGCAATTCCCAACCTCGTCCTCGCAAGGAACACGCACCGCTCAAAGCTCTTAAAAATTAAGACTGGGGTGATTTATTAATCTTGTTAAGAACTCTGATACAAAGCACAGTAAAAGGCCACAGACCAGTAAATAAAATGTGGCTTCTGGCCACTTTATAAATGCTGCTACAGTACTACCAGTAAAACAGACTCACTCTCACACCAGTTCAAACAAGTAGTTCGACTGGCAAATAAAAGTTCCATTCGCTTATCAGTTTAAAAAAGTTTAATAAAGCTTTAAGTGTTTGCTGGTTTAAATGCTACCGATTTCCCAAATGGATTCACGATTAAGTTAAGTGAGATCTAGAGAAAGTTATTAGGTTTGGAAGGCAAGGCTGTTCCTAAGCCAGAGGAAACAACTTCTGACCGGATAAGGTTGCGAGAGCAGCAGACTGTATTATAGGCCTCGAGTCACTTAAATTTATACAGGTTATTAGCATTATCTGTAAATATACAATATAAACAATTGTACATACACGGCATATAGCTTTGTTCTCCAGAACAGTAGACAACTCTTTTATAGCTTAAGACATCTTCGCCCACCAAAACAAAAAAGGCACATCTGAACAAGACGCATGCTAAGTACTGGGCATCCTTTCCAACATCCGCAGCGGGTCCTTGGTCACCCTTTATTAAAATAATCAAGACCAACCGAGTATTTTGGTGTTTAGATTTCAACCTCTTTTTCTTTTTTTTTTTTTTTGTCTTCAGCAGCAAATCAATGGCAATTAAGACACGGCATTAAAATATTCGAGAACAGTAGCTGTCACTCACGGACCTCCGAGCTCACACCACGTTAGAAGGCAAGTGGCCAGAGGTTTAAAATCAGTAACACTCTACGTCCCCGTGGTGTGAATCATCCCGTTGTTCTTTTGTTTTTAATAATAATAATTAAAAAAAAAGGCCACTAGTGCTCAAATTCGAAAAAATTCCACAGACGCACCTTTTTTTTTGGCTCAGTGCAATTAAAGGATGTCAGTTTAAATTCATTTAGTGTAGTTTACAGTGCAAAAGGTCTATTTTTGTGTGTGTGTGTGTGTGTGTGTACTGGCATAAGTGTCGGCACTGAGGATGTGAGACAAGGCAATGCTGCTGATCACCTGAGGGTAATGCTGTCGAGCAGACGCAGGCCAGAGTGTGTGGAGTCTTATTTTTCCAATTTAAACTTTTTTTTTTTTTTTTTTTTCCTGTTTTCGATCAGCAGCACTTTTAAGAGCATAATTTGTGAAAGTACTAAAATACACTGCCTTTTTTTTTTTTTTTGAATAAATAAAAAAAAAAAGAAAAAAAAAAAGGAACTTTACAAATACTATTCCAGTGTCAATGACTACTATGGCTACGGTCATTGAGGAGTTTCTGCATTTTCTAGCAAAGAGAGTCTGTGCAAAGGAGGGTGGGAGAGCTCCCTTTTGTAAGTCTTTGGTGGCAGTTTTGGTAACTGAGGGCTCGAATTGTTCCGGGGCGGGACGGGGGGCGCAGGAGGGTGGCCCGGGCTGTTGTGAGCGGCGCTGATCACGCAGCAGCGACGCAGTAGCCGGGGCGAGGGCGTGCTGGGAGGAGTGCTGGGAGAACTGGGACCTGTGCTCGCCTCCCTCAGCCGCTCGGGATCTCTGTGAAGGCGTCCCACCGGCGGCGGCTGGAGGTTGAGAGGGCAGTTGATGAAGTGTTCGGGCGGCCGGAGGGGAACCGGGGGTGGAGTATCGGGAAGAGGGTCCCGGGGGGGCGGAGGAGGGGGGCTGTGCAGCGGCTGGTCGAAGGGGGTGGTGTAAGAGGGAGCGCGGGGCTGGATCTTTGGAGGCGGCGGCTGCCGGGGGGGAATCGCTGGAGGATCGTCGTCCGACTTTAGACTTCCCTACAAGAGCAGAGAGGAGACAACGCTGTAAGAAAGGTGGATGTTTAGATAAAGAGTGTTTTTTTCTGACAGACACAGAATTCTCTCGACGTCTGCTACTGAAGCTGTCAGACGTGATACTGGAAGGGTCCTGTCTTTGATGTGAATATGACCACTGTGTTCCTAAAGTAGCCAGCAGAGTTTGGACATCAGGAACCTGAAACTTCAAAAGGACAACCAGAGCACTGCACTTGGAAGTCTTTTAGACTAAGGAAGTCCTGCTTGGCTGGGTGGTTGGACTCCATGATCCGAAAGGCCTTTTCCAACCTAAACAATTCTACCATACTAGATGTTCCCTGATTTGTTATCGAAGTTATTCAACGTAGGACAGAACTACCTTAGCGTTAGAAGCCTCCTGATCCATCTTCTTTCGTGGAGGAAGTGGAGGAGGGTTTTGAGGCTCATCACTTAGTTTGGGAAAGCTGCCCCAGGAGCTGAAGAAAGTCTCTGAAGAGAGAAAAACGGGTATTTTACAAATCTTGTGCAACACCTGAGGAACATACCCTAGAATATGAAACTGAACTGGAAGCAACTCAAATAAGCAGATCTTTGTGCTCAACAGCGACATGAACCATTAACTTCGGTTGTATGAAGTTCTCATTCGTTTCTTTAATCAGATAAACTGCTCACAAAATGCTCTCCTATTCCCGGTACCAAAGATAGGCATCAACAATTAACAGGTGCTGCTAAAGGACAGAAAAATAAAGTCAACTCGAGCAATAGTAACCCCCTCTGCAACCCTTTCTATATTGCAGAAGGTACCCCGCTTGCCACAGCGCCCGCAGTTCGCCCACGTGCCTTGATTACACTTTGGAGTAGAAGTTTTTTCTCTCGGCCAAGTGGGTACACGATGAAATTCAGAAATTTAGAGGATTCTTAACCGGTTTGCAGCACAATGATACACCGAACAGAAGAGATATTAACTCTCACAGTATTTTAGGACATTTCTAGTCCTTCCTTTTTACAGAGGGGGGAAAAAAAAAATAAATCCTCGAAGTTAATCTGAATCTGTGACTTTTGTCACACTTTGCATCGTCTCTCAGAAGAGCACAGAGCTCTATATCAAACCAGTAGGCACCTGCACTCCCCAGTTTGAAATTTTAATCATATTATGGAAAAGTGTATGTGCCTGGGTCATAAGGGAGTAAAAAGAGAAGCTGAAAACCCAGATGAACACAGGAGATCCCTCGCAGCTGCGGTACAAAAAGTACCTCCTCTTTCCCAGAAACAGAACAGTTATTTTCACTCGGTGGCAATACAGAATTATCAAGTTGCTTCATTAGTAGCATTAGTCAAACAAAATAATCATCAAGGACATTCAAAATAGAAGCAAAATCCTGCCAGAGCCTGGGGCAAAAAAAATCCCAAACCAAAACAAAAACAGAGTTTTTAGACTTTACATTCTTTACTGGAAATTTGATCCAAGACCTGTACAAAAACTCCTCTCAGGACCCACGAAAATGCAGCCCACGTTTTCACCCCAGATTTCAGATTTTAATTCCCATTCAGCTCTCCTGAAACCGGGGAAGGCAGAGTTAAATGAAACATTTAACAACGTTTCGGTACTCACTCGACTGTGGCAAATTGACGGGAGCGAAGATGCTGTTGTTACCTGTTAAATGGAACAAATGGATTAAAGACTTTCCAGACAGAACAACCGCGCTACAGCACGTAACGTACGACGCTTGGGAGCGACCTCAAAGATCACCACAATCTCCAAGTTTATCTACTGCTAAGAATGAATTAACCTTTCCTGTGTAAAACATTCCTCAGCTGGAGATTTTAAGTTATGGCATCTGAACTAACATCATCTTTTTTTTAAACGAAGACTGGGTTTTGGAGAGTGTGCCCTGACCATCCCCACTGCTGCCACCTCTGTTCATGTCTCAAAGCCTGCAGACAGGATTCCCTTCAAAGGAAATTAAACCAGAACCCCCACCAGAGGGTGTCCAGTCCACAGGACCACTCCAGACACATGCCAGGTCCTTGGCACCTCTTCTCTCTGCAGACGTGATGCCCCCTTCACGGAGACACCTCCCGTAACAGATCACCTCAGCTCCAGTGGGCAAAAAGACTAGAAATATGCTATTTATTGACACAAGAACTTCAGAGTCCACAACTAAATCTTACACCCTCCTTTTTTCAAAAGGCTGGCGCACACACCGATGTATTTTGGAAGCCTGAGGGACAGTAACAACAATTAGGGAAACATATTTTACATTTACCATAAGAGCTGTTGAGATCAATGTCTAAAAACACGCTGAACTCGGAAGAAGCGGACACCGGCGGCGTAGAGGGTGTGTTCGGTGAAGTCGGTGCCGACACCGTGGATTCGTGCTCTGCCTCGGTGATTCTACTGAAACTTATCTTACTTGGCTCCTTTTCGAGAGGCAACGGATGACTCCGCAAGGTGCCAGAGGTGGAGCCGTGTCTGCCCGTATTGGGCCTTATCCCGGGAGATTTCAGGGGATACGTTGTTTTTCTGGGCTGGAGAAAGTGAAGCTGGTCAGTACCGCAAGCGGCAAAACTGCCAAGTCTCTAGCAGATATTTTTCAAAGTACTTGTCAAATACGCTTTAAACAGTGTTAGAGCCTTTCTACAATCAACTTGAGGCACAGTCTGCTGCTATTTATAAAGTAGGAGTTGACTGAAAAGTTTGGATAGAATCATAGAATCATCTAGGTTGGAAGGGACCTTCAAGATCATCTAGTCCAACCACTCCAGGCACTCAAACCATGTCCGCCAGCACCATGTCAACCCATCTTTTGAACCCCTCCAGGGATGGTGCCTCAACCGCTTCCCTGGGCAGCCCATTCCAATGCCTGATAACCCTTTCAGTGTAAAAATTCTTCCTAATATCCAACCTGAACCTCCTCCCCTGGCGCAACTTGAGGCCGTTTCTTCTAGTCCTGTCACCTCTGTTTTCCTCATAACAGCACCCTTGGACACACTTTGTGCTGCTATCACCAGCGGTCACCCCACCGAAGGTCCCTACACACGGTCCAAGATCAAGGACTCCCTCAGACGCACGTTGTGTACGTCCTCTGGGTCAGTCTGTTGCTGGCACCATGTCAACCCATCTTTTGAACCCCTCCAGGGATGGTGCCTCAACCGCTTCCCTGGGCAGCCCATTCCAATGCCTGATAACCCTTTCAGTGTAAAAATTCTTCCTAATATCCAACCTGAACCTCCTCCCCTGGTGCAACTTGAGGCCGTTTCTTCTAGTCCTGTCACCTCTGTTTTCCTCATAACAGCACCCTTGGACACACTTTGTGCTGCTATCACCAGCGGTCACCCCACCGAAGGTCCCTACACACGGTCCAAGATCAAGGACTCCCTCAGACGCACGTTGTGTACGTCCTCTGGGTCAGTCTGTCCAAAATTCTTATGCACACACGTCACTGGTGTGAAGGAAACGAGCCTCGTTAGATGCAGGTGTAACACGACACAGATCAAAGCCCCTTCTCTGAAGATGAATTTCATTCCCATCCTATGCACGACTCCACCACGTTACAGCACCCAGAACTGGACTTTCCGGAAATTCCAATAAGGATGTCTCATTTGGAAATCATGAACTGGAAAGAATTCATGCCCAGCTGACTGAGACTATTTTATATTTCTATTTTTAGGAAGTATTTTAGAGAAATTACTGTAAGTGGCATTTTTGCAGCAGTCATTTCTGTCATTTTCTTGTCCTATTTGTAATATCATCTCGCTCATTCCTCTAACAAGAGACTGTTAAAACAATTTATAGCTCTCCCCAAAATTAGAGATGTCTCCAGCTACTTAGGAGTACAATTACAACATATCAAAACCCAAGCATTCTAGGGAGCAACCTTTCTGCTTAAAAAAGAGCTCTGGGCTCCAGGAGCTATTTTCTTTAAGAAAAAAAAAAAAGATTGCTACTCCTTTAAATCGAACTCTGTTTTGTTCAAGAAGAAAGTTGCACCTCATTAATTCTATGGCGTACTTCAATTTTTGGAACAACGCAAAACTCTTAAGACAAAAGAAAAATAAAAATTAACTCCCACTTAAAGAAAACTTAAAAACATGAATTATGCATAAAATTAATATTTAAATAATTAACATTTTATAAGATCTTTGATACTGTGAAATGAAAAATGTTATTCTGTAGTCTGTCAATGACTACATGCTAAGAACCCCAAATTTAAACTGTAATAATTTAGGGTTTTGGGCGGGGAAAGTTCATTCTAAAATAAGCAAAAGTAGTATGTTTTAGTAGCAACAAACGCCTGAAATAAAAGCATTTAAAATCATCTCATGATACAGAATTCTAAAGGAAATGTATCTATAGCTTATTGAGTTAACGACGTATTCTATTCCGTAGTAGCCAGTAGATTTTAGGTGTTTAATTTGCAGGACAAGACTTACAAATCTAGGTGGTTGCTTGCAGTTTCGAGGTTCAATTTCTAACGACTTGTTGAACAGATAATCTGTAAACTCTTTTTCTGGTATCTTCCCCATAGGATTGAGATTTTCAAAGAATTTCTAAACGAAACAAGCATCAATAATAATTAAAAAATAAGCATATGCACAGAGTTTTAATGAAATGCTTGGAATTCACTGATTAAAAATCTACCTTTTCACTATTGTGAATTTTCTAGGAAAACAGGAATTCAATAACACTTTGGATGTGATCAATGAAGTGGGAGGAACAGGAAGGGAGGGAGGAGGAGAGCAGGGAGGGCAGAGGTGGTGACAGGGGAGGGCACAAGGGACGGCAGGGACAGGACTGGCAGTGTTATTCCCCTTTTAATTCCTCGTGTAACCAGCTTCTTTCTTGCTTCCTGCCCGCCGTGTTCACTGGCCCACACTGGGACTGCCAGCCACGCCACTTGTTTTTGGGAAAAATTACAATTTTGTGTCATCAGGAAGACCCAGAACTTGGAACCCAAGCAAGTAAATCCCTGCTTCTGACTAGGCCTGTGCTGTGGTACCCTGTTGGCCACCAGCTCTGACCCCCATCTTCTGTTCAGACAAGATTAGGTCTAGTAATCTTCTAGCTAGAAGATTATTTGGCAATTTTTTGTTGTGTACATTCTTTTCCCTCTTCTATCCCCAAACCCAACATTTAATGTTTGATTACCCGAATTTCTGGCTCTATCCGTAAACAGTAAGGCTGGTTTTGGTACTGCTGAATCTCTCCTGTAATTTCAGCCACTTTTCTCCTCTTGCTGAAGTTAATTAATTCTTTCCCTTGTCTTTTAAGGAAGTCAGGATTCCCTTCTTCTGTCTTCAAAATATTTGTTAGGTATATTCCTGATAAAAAGAGAAGTGTTTTTTAAAGTTCACTTTCATCCCAAGAGCTGATTTCATTCTTTCTAATGAATAATAAAAAAGTTTGAGCATGGGCAGGCCATTCCCTTTAATGGTCCAACAGTTGATTAGCTGGCAAAAATTAATCAAGTCTGCATTTTTACATAGGAACAATACATTATTGAAATAAGATGTTTTATTTGCTTGACAACACATGAGATCCTGAGTTAGAAAATAACAATTTTCAGGTCATGACCATAATCAGATCAGCAATATGGAGGCAGTGTTAAACCAAGTAAGGTAATATTCATACCAATATAATACCAGCATCTGTATAGTAAGCTAGAAAAATTAATTTATATAAAAGACACTAAGTCTAAAACAGTTACAAACCTAGGAAGTCAAAGTCAAACGTTATATTAAAAAGACTTTAAAGCTGAACACACACCTCAACACTTTAAGCAATATTAAAACATCTGCATTCAACTCAACTCAAGGCTGACAATACACACACTATGAGCCTGCTCCGGTGTTACTTACCAAAGAAAGGCACACAGGGTGGATTAATTGACTTGAGCTTAGCTAGGTATTTTTTAAAATGATCTTGACTTAATTCTACAGCTTCATCCAAAACTCTTTTTTTTCTTTCCTGCAGTGCCTAAGTTGTCAAAAAAAAAATATATAGTTAGGGATGCAAATCTTCTCAGTAGCAGGGTTAGTAAAACCAAAGCAATTCCCGAGCTCTCTCAGCAAAACTTAGGGACTGAAATTCAGATTTGAAAGAAGCTCCTGTGTAAAGGGTTTGCCCTGGACTACAGCACCATCAGTCAGTTTAGCCACGTGAATCATGAGGCTACTGTAAACAGGCTATTCTTGTGTCTGTCAACTTACAAGCATAATCCTGGTCTTTAAATTTAATAACAACCCAACATTTAATTTGGAATTTAACTTAAAGGCCCTGTACTACCTTTTAAAGACATACAAAACTCAAACCATTTTATTCATGCTTCTTTTTCTGTTTTGGTCCAGGCAGGTTTTGCTGCCAAATCCTGGGCATTGCTTGTCCTTGGCAAGTGAAAAAAGAAATCAGTATTTGTTCAGCAGCCTCTCTTCCTACTGTCCATCTAAGCCATCTCAGCAGGTATTTATTTCTGCCTCTGACAATCTGAATTTTCTGAGATGTTTCTCTCCCCGTGTTTCCCTCGCAGGTAGGAAATGCTGCCATTCAAGTATTCCAGAGACCAGGGTTCTTGGCCCTGGGATCCTCCTCTTCCATATCCATAAAATGCTGGACTGAAGGGACAGGTTCATTTCAGACAGGTTAACGAACCACAGTTGAATGGCCACGACATTTCCCCCTTTTTGGGCTGAATACAGGTGAGAAAACATCTGCTGAAAAGCTCCACTTCCCACTGGGGACCCCTTTGAGAGGCCCAGCCCAGCTCCTGTGTTTTCTCATCAATAATTTCATGTTTCACACTTGTTTTCTTCCCTGAAAGCGAGTGTGATGTGGCTACCGTGGATTTCACTTCAGAAGTGTGTGAGATACACTTCTGGATTCTAATTATTTTCCCCCAAGAGCAATTAGCAAAATTTACCTCAAACGTGTGATCCAGCCTGTACACGGAGACAGAGTTCATGGCACTGACGATCTCCAAAACACCATTGAAATTATTCAGATCTTGAAAAACCTGCAGGATTTCTATAATCCTGCTCAGCACAGCCACTCGCTCTTCAAAGTTCTCCGTTTCCACTATGCACCTGATCAAATGAAATAATTCGAGAAACGCCGATAAATAAACCCTGACATTTTGCTGGCTCCTAAATCCAGATTTTCCCAGCAAAACCTGTGGGAGTCGTAGGAGTTACTCCTGCTGCACTATCACCTCCTGGACTTACTTTTCAAACCAAAGAGTCAGATTTGTAGTATGACGGATCATTTTCAAGAGATTTGGGGAGTTAATTTCCTTATCTTCTTTAGTCCACACGCTGCCCACGAGTTCAGAAGGCTGCACCGCCCTGATAACGACAAAGCAAGATGCAGAAGAACGCTCAGCGCGAATAATAATTCTGTGTTTGCATTAAAAGATTATTTCTGCCCTTAATCACAACTTGGTATTTCACAAATCCAGTCCAATCTCATCTGCTGCAAAACAGTTACTCAGAGTAACTTTTTGAGGAGTATTTGGCTATAGAAGGAAATACATTTTTATCTTAATTGAAAGCGGCATTTTTGAATGAGCACTTTCAGGTAAGAAAATCACAAAAGAGTAATTTTAATTTCCTGAAAGCATAAGAAAGCATCTTAAGAGACAGATACAATTTTTTAAAAAATAGGAAGCTGAACTACTTTGAGCAACAAAAGTATTTTGTCGCCGAAGCACAAAAGAATGCTTCACCTCAGAGTTCTTTTAAGATCTTAAAGAATTTTTACACAGCAAAGCCTGGCTCTTGCATCAAGGGTAGATCTATTTATCACAGGTGACAACAGAGGGAAGAAACAGCGGGGTACTTACAGTACCAGACCAAAAAAACTCCTCAGAATTAGATTAAAGGCCCTTGACGTACCAGTGATACAATTACATGCATAGAACACATGGGTCAAGGGGGTGGTTTTGAACAATTTTACGAATTAGAGCTCTTTCTTGCTCAAATAAGCTAAAAAAAGCCACGTATGAGCTCAATCCCTACCTATAAAGGTCAGACTCGAGGAGCGTCAGCTGCCGGGCGATCTCGATGGGGTGCAGAGTCATGAGGTCCAGGGTCTCGCTGTGCCCCACGCGCCAGATGTGCCACTCGATGGGGGGCGGCGGGCTCTCGAAGGTGATGTTGTGGCTAATGCCATTGGCCTGAGCTTTCTTCCTCTTGATGATTTTAGCAATCGATTCCACCCACTTCTTCATGGATTTTCCTGCAAAGCGGAAACCATTAAAAAAACCACCCTTTTTTACTACCATCTTAACCGACTTCTGATCATTTAATTCCGCCCCCCCCCCCAATTTGTACACTCAAAATTCTGCATTTCTACATTGAAAATTAATTAGGTTTGTAATTCCCTATTTATTTTTTTTTCTTGCACCTGTATCAGTTGGCAAATACAGACAGATGTGAACAAACTTTTGGATGCCCAGTGGCGTTTAACCACGTTTACTGACAGTTTCACCTACTTAGAGGAGAACTAAAAACCAACAAGCTTCAAAAGTGAGATCTTTGCAGGATGCTGTACTAATGCACTAATGCAGAATAAAAAGATTAGAGAAATACGTGTTTATAAAATCAGTCCAATATTTACAGTACACAAAACAGTGGACAAGATGGGAAGCACCTTCGGCAGTTCATGAAAAATACCTTTTAAGACTAACCAAAATTGAATTATTCCTCCCTGCTCTGCAATAAGTAGCATGGAGACCTCTGCAAAAGATAAACCACGCTTCTTTAAGTTTGCCTCAGAATTATATTGCCCAACGTAAGGCCTGGCAATCCAAAAAGTAAAGTCAAGTCTAGAATTGCCAGGATAATGATTGAAATTGACACGTCAACACTGTTCCCTCCACATAAACTGCCAAAATATCTGCTCTTTCCTGAGGGATCGCTCCAGAGGAAACGATACCAAATGGGGCAAGTATCCTCTCCCAAAAGGATAATGATTTTCAGCTGGAATCTTCAATAAATAGGAAAAGAACAAGATGGAAAAACTGGACTCAGTTCTACATGGAAGGCATTTTCTATGGATACAACCCAGGGAGGAGGAAGGCGACAGCCTGAATTCTAACGAGTCTGTTGTAACGTCACTGTCCAGGAGTAAACACGCTTAATTAAATATCATAACGCTTGAAGTAATTTTTGGTAGCTGTTTAGGCTCCAGGCCAGAGCTTGCTCATGGAAAGGAGAGTCTCATAAACAGCTCAATTAAAGGCATTAAAATTACTCATGCGTGTAAAGATATTCTCATGCCTCAAACCTGTCGGGATGAGACCAACAGGTTGCACCAAAATGTGGAAGGACAACAGAACCCACCACCAACCGTACCTCTCACGCTGGAAATAAACGTCTCCAGTCTCTCCAGCAACTCCAGATCTCTTTCAAAATCGTAAAAGTGGTGCTCTACCCAGTGGCGAAAAACATTTAATATTCTGGGGAAGGAGAGAAAAAAAATAAAATAAAAATATGTTTTGTTTTTTTTTTTTACAGACTTCCAAGGCTCATCCCGTGTAACCGCTCAACAAAACACAATTCTACAAATGCTGTTACAGATTCATGTAGCTGATGATTATCAAAGTACACAAGGAAAAAGGGGCAGAACAAAGACTAAAAGCACTGTACCAGTGACCACAGAAGTCCCCAGGTAGTTAAAACCTAATTTTCCAGTATATGTAGCATATATAGTATATAGCATACATATAGTTTGGTGTTTTTTTTAAATCTTATATAAAGAATGCTAGCGTTGAGGTGGTTTCAGAAGAGGAAAAATCTTAGCAAAATCAGATAAAACCAGCATTTCTAATGTAATTTTCTAATTATTTTTTTTTTAAAAGCTCATTAGGATCTCCCATTTGGTAAGAAATAAATTTGAAATTGTTTCTTTCCTATATACAAATTTCAGCTCAGAAGTTGTTGCAAGTGTACTGCCCTACTTTCACAACTTTTTAATGACACAAATGGCTGTACCAGATCCAGTACTTCCTTTAAGAGTAGCACTAAGCTTTCTCTTGATTTTTCCCTACACTTTCTTAAACAGACCACTAATAAACAAGCCTCTAAAAGTGACCTACACCTGCCCTTAGGATGTATCAGAATAAAAAAGTGTTTTGCTTCTTCATGTAAACAAGTTAAGCTCGTATCTCAAAAATTTGATTTATTAGGGTGTATCCTATCACCTTACCTAAAGAGTGAGCAAAAATCTCCTACATCAATTAGTACAATGGATTTTCCTTGTGCCAATTCAACTGGTGGGATGGGACGATGTGGTTAACGGAGAGTCCACTGCCCCAGACTGGGAGGAGGAGATGGGTATGGGGTAAGGTGTGGTTACTCCTGCCCCATCGCCTCTGCGGAAGCTGCTCAACTCCCCCCAGCTCAGGATATTAAGGTAAATTAGTGCTAATTGTGCATCAGGCTGCTTCTTTTGGTGGTAAGAACATCTGAGAGGAACCGGGCAGGCAACTGCTTGGAATCTGTGGGTCTGTGAGTCAGAGCACCAGAGAAGTTGGCTGGTTTTGCTTGGTCAAATGAAGGCTCCACGTGAATACATGGAGAATTAAGTAGTTCTCTTCTCAGTGTGTAAGTTAAAGAATAAGGTTCATGACATGAAAGAATGGCTGGAACATCATTTAGGCTGGAAATTAATGACAGCTTCTAACTTGTCAAAGGAGTGATGTTTTGAAACCATTTCCCAATAACAGCAATACAGGATCTTATCTAATCAGTCTTTGCCTGTGAGATACCACGGCAGGAATACTGAAAAAGCAAGAAAGATTGCCCAGTTCTGCTGACTGTGTTTCCAGCTTAGCACCTCCTCCTTCTCATGACCTCACATGCCTTTAATCTCATTTCCACGCCTGTGCACTACTCAGCATCTCTAGGGCATTTTCTACAAGATGGGGAGTAAGCGCTGGGCAAGGAGGGAGGGATGAGCATCTTCACATTTTCCACCTTCTTCCCAAATCTCCCCAAATCTCAGATCCCTCTGAAGTAAAGGTCAATACTATTAACAATACCAGAATATACAAAGTGCTGGGTGTATCAACCAAACAGCTCAAATTCAGATACTTGTTTTTAACTGTAACACAGTTAAGAGTTTCCTGTGGTGTCTCCTAAATTCAAAGATTAACTATAAGCCACAGAAGGATGTGTGTTAAACAGCAGCTTTAAACCCCACCTCTCATCGAGCAGGCACCTGTAGATGGACTCAGCAGAAATTAAGCACCAAAGAGTAGCCCTCACGATAAGAGGTATCCTGATTTCTCAAACAAGGAAAGAAACTGACACCAAAGACCCTGGAAACTTTGGAACAGGGCACAGGTTTCGAACAGCTCAAACATAACAGAAGTGCTAAATTGATTTTGAAATTAACAGCAAGAAACATGGTTAATTGCTGCCTCAAACTTTCCTACAGGTTCCAGTTCAGTGGTGACCTCTTGTCCTGCTGGGCTGTGGCAGCCAGCAGGGCTGCAGGAAGATGACTTTGTACCATGGCAAGGGGCACTGCCAGGAGGTCCCCAAGCCCATTCAGGAGGCTATAAAAAATAGCAACGAAAGCAATACGACAATATTTGAACTCTTGAGCCAGTTATGTCACAAAAGCCCATTCTGTGTGAGTCTCCATGAAGGGGCTCCATAGGCCCCATGCTGATGGACGCAGAAAGAGTTACCAGCAAAGAGCAAGCTGAAATCAGGAAAAATACCCACCGGGAGGCCGTGTGTGAAGCTCGCCCAAGAACTGATAACTCTGGAGACTCACAGTCCTGCTCAACCCACAGGAGCTGATACGGCGAGAACACCAAGGGCCTGATAAAGCCGTACAATGCCACGGGCACATTCAAGTATGAAGGTTACACTGAGGTTGTGTCACTTGGACTACACCCAAGAAGGTGGAGGTGGCCATATATCGATGAACAGTACAGTATTATATACATATTACATTTTTTTATAAAAAAACGGGACCTTGAAGTGACTTTCTGAACACCTTCCTTGAAGGTACTGGCATGTCATTATGAGTTTTCACTTTGATTCAATTGCTGCTGCTACAAACAAGTAACAGGACAAGAGGTAACGAGCACAAACTTGAACATTGGAAATTCCATCTAAACATGAGAAGGAACTTCTTTCCTGTGAGGGTGGCAGAGCCCTGGAAAAGGCTGCCCAGAGAGGTGGTGGAGTCTCCTTCTCTGGAGACATTCAAACCCACCTGGACACGTTCCTGTGCAACCTGCTCTGGGTGGACCTGCTCTAGCAGGGGGTTGGACTAGATGATCTCCAGAGGTTCCAACCCCATACCATTCTGTGCATCTGTCAACCGAGGGCACCCTGCACACAGTTATCTATCATTAATAGTAACATCTTGGTGCCACTAGCACAAACAGTTTAATGAATAAAAGTCACTCTAGCAAATATTGGTTGTGATCTCTGTCTCCTCCTGACTTTACCCCCTATCAGGGAAACAATTAGCTTCATTCATGCTAGAAACACTTTAATTGTTTCCCAAGTACAGCTTGGTCAGCACGACCTTGAAGATTCCCTGCAGCCCGCTGGGACGTGCAACACAGACAAGAGCCTCCCTGTCTGTGGGCAAAGACGGCGACGGGGCTGGGAAAGGGAGTAAAATATCCTCCCCCCCCCAAAAAAGGAAAACAGAGAAACTATCTTCACAGGGGCCCGTTAACAAGGAATCCATTCAAAACGCAGGCAGAAAACACTTGGGGTTGTGCATCTCTCACCCACACCCACGTCACGCAGCGGCCGTAGAGCGCTCTGGTGGGTGGCTGGTGGCAGCTGCGAGCGGCAGAGAACCAAAGTACAGTAACAACACCACCAGCAGCCAGCGTGACTAATGAGAACAGCCTTTGGGGTATCAGTCTGGTTGCAGACAGCGCTAAGTCCCTGCCTGACAGCACAGCAGTCTCCAACGAGAGATTACTGTCTCCGGGATCACCGTATAAATCGGTGAACTAAAATCTGGCTTGAAGAGAAACAGAAAATCTCAAAGGTAAATCCACCTGAGTTGTACGGGCTGGACGTATTCCTTGCGAAAGCGCTTGAGGTCTGCGCTGATGGGCTGCTCCCCTTTCTCGATTGCCAGCCTGTCTGCTTCCGTAGGCTCCGGCTCCGGGATTTCAAACCTATGAATAAAAGTACCAAAAAAAAAAAAAACCCCGATGGCAATTAAGATAAAACACAAACCCTTTACGTAGGGCACGAAGAGCAATCGCGTTTAAAAAAATAATAATGTGGCACGGTGAAACTCCGAACACTCATCTAATATCCAGTCTGCCTGGAACTGCCTCCTCCCCTGGCGACGTCCTGTAACACACCCAGCTCTCGCCCTGATAATTCCCTGCTCCTCTGCTCATCACAAGACGTCTAGACTGGGATAGAATGGTTTTTAACTACCTGCTCGCTTGATTAAGGGAAGATTAGAAGAAAGCTTAAGAGCGGCTTTATCACCCTGTATTAAAACGCTGTTTACACCGAGGCTGCACCTTTCAAAGCAAGTGCTTAGAACATTTCCCTTCTTGCGTGCAGGGAGACCTGGGCACGCTCAAACACACTCATCATCAAATTAAGCAGCTCAAAATATTACCCCCCCTCCCCAGCCGAGGTGCACCGAGCACTCCAGCTAATACTTAATTCAGGTCACTCATTTAACAGACTGGGAAAACGAAGCTTGTATTAAAAACCTGCATCGCTGGTTCCTGTTTCAGAAGTTACTGATTTATGAGTTTCACTAAAACAAAGCAAAGCCTCTCAGTGCCTTCTGAAAGGGTGACAGCAGCTCACCTTTCGATCAGTAAACTCAGCAGCTCCTGGGGTTTGCAAAAGGAGCGGTAGGTGGTAAGGAAGGTACGTACAAAATTAGGATCTGTAAAGACAGAATAAGAAAATTACGCGTTTTTTTTTAATCCAATTGCAAAATATCAGAAATAAAATACACATAGACTCAGAGGAGAAGGTTAAAGTATGGAAAATACACTGTTTAGCACTGGAATTTGAAAAATACCAGAAACGATACTGCTTGTGAAACTGTCGTTTAGTTCTTGGATTCATTTCCCCTGTAAAAGTCTGCAACTGCACAATCTTATGTTCTCTCAAAAACTGCGCCTCAGCCTTGGCGTGCGGAACGGCCACCCTCCCTGGACACACCAGAAGAAGGTTAAAGTGTGGAAAATACACTGTTAAGCACTGGAATTTGAAAAATACCAGAAACGATACTGCTTGTGAAACTGTCGTTTAGTTCTTGGATTCATTTCCCCTGTAAAAGTCTGCAACTGCACAATCTTATGTTCTCTCAAAAACTGCGCCTCAGCCTTGGCGTGCGGAACGGCCACCCTCCCTGGACACACAGCTATTCCAAGGTTTCACACAGACGAAGAAAACACGGTAGAACTCGGCTGTCTACTCTCTTGACATCAAAAGCACCTAAACCACCCCAAAAGAACTTTGTCTTACCTGTTCTTAAAAGCTCTCCGGCCACCCCACTGCAGTACCTGCTGCCCTGGGCAGAGCAGCCGCCGGGGACAACAGGAGACGCTGCAGAGGCCCTTACAAAGCAAATACCTGCAGTGGTTGGAGACACCTGCATCTCCACAAGCCACCACACCTCCCTCCTGCTGCTCCTCACCCCTGCTGGAGGTGTGTTACCATGGGACGTGCCTATCCGCAAGCTGCCGCGCGTTTTATTGGGCCCACTCTGCTATTTTACAACTGTTAAAGGAAAAATATTATTCCTTTAAGCTCTCTTAGTCCCACTGTCTGCTACAGAGTTTCTTAGACCATGCATAAGCAAAATGGTAACTTTACTGTGAGCCACGAAGAGTCATCATCTGGTCCCACTCCCTCACAGCCCAGAAAGCCCCCCATATCCTGGGCTGCATCCCCAGCAGCGTGGCCAACAGGGTGAGGGGGGAAATCTGCCCCTCTGCTCTGCTCTGGGGAGACTCCCCCAGTGCTGCCTCCAGCTCTGGGGCCACCACCAGCAGAAGGACATGGAGCTGTTGGAGCGGGGCCAGAGGAGGCCCCAGAGATGCTGGGAGGGCTGGAGCCCCTCTGCTGGGAGGACAGGCTGAGAGAGTTGGGGGGGTTCAGCCTGGAGAAGAGAAGGCTCCAGGGAGACCTTGGAGCCCCTTCCAGTCCCTCAAGGGGCTCCAGGAGAGATGGGGAGGGACTCTGGATCAGGGAGGGGAGCCATAGGACAAGGGGGCACGGTTTTAAACTGAAAGAGGGGAGATGGAGATGAGATCTGTGGAAGAACTTCTTTGCTGTGAGGGTGGTGAGAGCCTGGCCCAGGTTGCCCAGAGAAGCTGTGGCTGCCCCATCCCTGGAGGGGTTCAAGGCCAGGTTGGAGGGGGCTTGGAGCAACCTGGTCTGGTGGGAGGTGTCCCTGCCCAGGGCAAAGGGGTGGGACTGGATGGTCTTTAAGGTCCCTTCCAACCCAAACTATGTCATGATTCTGTGATCATCAACCCTCTCACAAGGGTAAGAAGCTGCTACTCTGTGGTACCCAGTAGCTTGCAGCGCTGCCTGGCAGCAAATGAATTCTGAAATACAGGAAAACCAGGTCTAGACCAAACTAGACCACATGCCCACTCAGAAGGGTGGATTTTGGGTTGCTGGGAGTTTCCTTTTTCTTGCTGTTCTCTAAATAGTCTGGAACCTGTCAGCATTCGGTGCAGGTTGCTCACACCAGCAGCCTCCAACACTTGGATTTCTTCCAATAAGCCCACAAAAGATTAAGACAAACACTGCTTTTAAGGCGGCTTAAATTCTCTGCTGAGCACTGCTCAACATTTTCAAGGGGTCCATATATAGGAACATGCTTGCAAGCTACAAGTAACGGTGCTCTCATTCTGTGATAATGCTGCTGAGTTTGCACCCGTGTCCTGCACTGGCCTGTTCTGCTTCCACATCACATTTACATTCACTCTTCAGTAATATTTATGATATTTTGAAAGCAAATCTCCCTCTTAGCGCTGACCAGGCAGGTGGTATCTCCGCTCTGGAGGCAAGATCTGTAATTCTTTTAAAGTGGGGGCTGCTACTCTGCTCTCTAAGGTTCTTTGGTAGGTATCTATAGGTCTCTAAGGTAGGTTCTTTTATATTATTTTTAAAATTATTTATTTTTGTAAATGATGTTCTCAATAAAATGTAAAATACAAGCAATGTGCTAATAATAGTGGCTTGTGATTTAAATTCAAGAGTTATTAACACTGCATCTGCTACCTCCCGTGGTATCCCAGTATCAACTGGGGACTCATGGCTTTGCTGTGGCAGAGCTCATTCTGGGAATGCAGAATCCTGCTTCCCACAAATCTGAAACTAACGCAAGCCTATGATAAACCAACAGTTTAAAGAAAAAAAAAATCATATCTTGACCTAAATGCAAAAAAAGCACCCCTGAGATGTGGTGAGATTCCCTCCATGTGCTGTTAGCCATCGAAATGCCCTTGTGGAGGCTGAGGGAGAGGATTTTGTTAGCCTTGGCTCCAAAACCTGCTTGGAAAATGCACACTGAAACCCAAGAGGCAACGCTTTCACTGGAGATTCCCAAGGCCAAAGCAGCAGGTACCTGGGCTATAAAAACTGAAGTTCCACGGGCAAATGAATACTCAAGTGCAGCAGTTCAGCCAGGGAAAGAGCTGAGTTTACAGGTCCCTGAAACCCATCAGTTTTAGAAAGAGATGAGTTAGGACTCACAGACAACACAACTACGGATTACTTGCACACCAATGAGTTGCATCAATATTGAGCTTCAGTGTGGGAAATGCCTTAGTTTGTGATTTGCATCCTTTTCTACTGAGGGGCCTCACAATGTGGCAGGCTGAAGTATAATAAATATAACCTCCAACCTTTATCTTCCTCCACAGCCACACAGTCTCTAACAGCACCATGGCTTTAACCACGATGGGCTCAGGAAAGGCACTGGTGGCTCCCATTAGACACTGATACCTTTTTTGGGGGGGAGGGAGGATGGGGGAACTTTCATACAAAAAATTTTCTTACAGCTTTGTCAGCAAAGCCAGTTGATTTAATAACAGATACGGGTTTGGTTTTTTGTTTTTTGTTTTTTTTTTTCTGCAAATATTAGAAGAATCACAGAATTGTCCAGGTTGGAAATCTTAGAAGAATCACAGAATTGTCCAGGTTGGAAGGGACCTTTAAGATCAGTCCAACCATCAATCTAACTCTGATAAAAAACCATCACTAAACCATGTCTCTAAGCACTATGTCAACCCAACTTTTAAATCGCTCCGGGGATGGTGCCTCAACCACTTCCCTGGGCAGCCCATTCCAAGGATCAATAACCCTTTCCATGTAAACGTTTTTCCTAATCTCCAATCTGAACCTCCCCTGGTGCAACTTGAGGCTGTTTCCTCTTGTCCCATCTCCTGTTCCTTGGGAGAAGAGACCGACCCCCCCTGGCTACACCCTCCTTTCAGGGAGTTGGAGAGAGTGAGAAGGTCTCCCCTCAGCCTCCTTTTCTCCAGGTTGAACACCCCCAGCTCCCTCAGCCTCTCCTCACAAGACTTGTGCTCCAGACCCCTCACCAGCTCCATTGCCCTTCTCTGGACCCGCTCCAGCCCCTCGATGTCTTTTTGTGGTGAGGGGACCAGAACTGGACACAGTAAAAAACCCAATGAACAAAAAAATAGAAGGATTACTTTCATCCATAAGCGTTTTCTTAAAAACTTACATATAACAAAATGTACAGGGTACCTGCATACATGTGGTACGTCAACCTCTCGATTAACTTCACAACCGTCCCTCCTTTGATGATAGGAATGCCGTTCCTGCTTTGCAAGTTGTCTTCAAAAACGATGTTGTCCTCTGAGTCTTCCACCACGAACCGATACACGCTCGGGCTGGGCAACCTCAGCGGCTGCTCGTTTTCTTCTTGGAGTAAGACCGAATCCAGCATCCTGTCCAGGGTGCTGCGATACTGGAGGGAAATCAGAGCCGCCATCCAGTTGCTCTTCTCTTCAGCGGACTTGGCAGCAAAGAGGATACTGTTCTCATCTTTAGACACCAGTTCGAAAGCGTGTTTGTACTCGGCCGTGTCGTCTTTATCAATAATCTGTATTTTCCTCATGATGATTTTTTCCTTCAGTCTATACTCAGCGTTGCTGTAGCCGGGAAGCCGCGACTGACCGTGGTTGGTTTTACAGCTGATCATTAAGCCGTCGAAGAGGAAGATGTGGCGTTCGTGTTTGGCTCCTATTTTTGTCAAGCCGCCTTCCATTATGAACTCGTTGCAGCACTGCCCAATATCTTTGCCTTCCCAGCCGTCAATATTTTTCTGGATTTCATTCATTTTCTTGATGGCCAAGTGCTTGCTTCTTATTTGCCGGTTATAGAAACGATACACCGGCTCCCTTGAATGAATAAAAGAAAAAGTCACGATGGGCACAATGCACATTTGCTATCCCAAGAGACCAGAAAAAATTCAACTAAATTAATTGTTTATATCATTATTTCTTTGCTCTAAATATGTCCTGTTCCAAATAAATTACATGCACTGCTTTAGCAAGGGCAAGAGTAAGATATTGACAGAATCCCAGAATGCTATGGGGTTGGAAGGGACCTCTGGAGATCATCTAATCCAA